GTAATGCTTTTTAGCCAAAAGAAATCGAAATGAATTTCATAGATTTACCTTATGAAAATAATGTTGACAAAACTATTGAATGGGACAGACTGGAATCGAACCATGGACATTGGAATTATGAGACCAATGCTTTGACAACTCGTCTATCAGTTCTTGTTTAATGGAAGATGCTAAAGGCGTATAAGAGCTAACTTGTGTAAGACGATAATCTTTCATAAGTCGCCCAAAGAAAATTCCCACGAGCAGCAAGCGTGTTTTCCGTCGAAAACACTCGGCTTTGGTGTTTAGTGGACCCTACACGTTTGCTTTTATTGACAATAATCGTATTGTCAATACATTATTATTATTATTATTATTATTATTATTATTATTTAGCTTTATTAAGGAGGCTTTCAGCCTTGGGCTGGTTCGCCTCCAATTGTCAATACATTCAATATTGACGTCAATACATCGGTATTGACAATATTTCTGTATTCACATCATCAATATTAATGTCAATAATTCCCCTTCGCGTCAATATATTGATACGCTTTTGCTGAAGCATCCATACACCGGTTCCATTCTGGCTGTTTCGGGACTTTACGCTACTGTCAGAAATTAATCTGCCCCCCTCCCCCCTTTTGCATTTGCAACACTTATCTTTAATCCCGTTATAAAATATATTTTTTGAACATATGTCGAGACCCAGCTCCACAAGAAAATTCTTCGTTCAACCAAACGGTAGTTGGAAATCGTACACTAAGTTTTATAAGTGTCACGCCGAGTTAATCTACATTAAAATAAAGTTACCGGAGAACTCGGAAATCCTAAAATAGACAGTAGCCACACAATAATGTACTGACCCCTAATCTCTTTGAAGCAATAAATAATAATGTTATGTAGTGGTAGTAAATAGTAAATTGATTTTTGTTTTATTTTGATAGCAAAAGCGATCAATTTACCATTTATTGATTTGCTTCTCTTGACAGACATATTACAGCATTCAAAGCTGAATCCGAGCAAGGTTTCGGATAGGGAACAGACACTCTACTTTAAAAGAAGCAGCTGCAATAGAATCCGTAAAACAACTTGTTGGATGGCAAGCACGCAATTTTAGGAACGATGAACCAAATGGACCGTTTAGAGGACAATAAAAGCTGAAATATCGTCCATTGCTACCAAAATCATCAACATATTCGATAAAGGGGAAATGGATGTAATTTCGGCCTAAATGCCCCTAATTTGGGCCCCTACATTCAGTTCGACTATATTTTCAATAGCGACCAAAAATATCCATTAGTACCGTCCCAATGACGCGTTCATCTAAATAAAATTGATAAATAGAAGATTTTTAGCGATGGGCCCAATCTTAGATCCATAGGCCATAATCAGAGCCATTTCCCCCATAGTAACAATTAGCACCTAGATTAAAAAAAAATCTAAATTAATTTGAATTTAAAACAAAAAAAAGTTTAAAAAACTAAAAATCGACATATTTAGGACAAGCAAAAATTCACCCTCCCAAAACTCGTCTCCTACCATCATTATCTGTAAACTAAAAGCACACGAGTTATTTTTGTTTTGTAAGAAAGGGAACACTTCGGATCTTACATTGTTTACCCCATGAAGAGGACTGATCTTAAATTTTCAATTCTTAAACAAGTTCAGCTGTTTTACCAAAAAGCAGCCACGAATGAGGCAAATGCAGAAATCTCAGTAAATTAATTGGTTGATTTCAGTATTATCCTTGTTTGTTTGCTGATGCACTCGGTAAATTTTGTTGACGAATTTAGGTAAACCCAAATTTATACCATTAGACCAAGCTTGGAAAATACATATTGAATGCTGAAATATTAGTAACATCAGTTTTAAGTGTGTACACTCGCACGTATTGAACATCCGATAGCACATGCTTTTTTCCGATTTGAACTTTATAAAAACCGCTTACACCTCAAACATCTTGCAAGCACTTCCATATCAACAGCAATCGCATAATGCTTTCAAAGGTGAGCCTTACGCTCTTATTGGGATACGCTGAGCTTATCAAGCTATTAATCACACAATAGGAAACTAGAACTATGTGCAAGTATTTAAAAAAAAATAATCATCTTTTCTTAACCCTTTACCATTCTTGCATTTACTCAAAGGCACTTTAACACGACAAAGGTTTGATTTTTGTTGGACGCAACTAGATTCATCATCCATCAAGAGCCGCACCAAGATTGGATAGATACTTGGAGGTTAAATTTTTCCTGACCCAATTAAGATTAGCATCTGCTCAGAGACACACTAACCCACTAGTTGACTAGGAGGTTATATTTTGTCACAATCAACAACGTCTAGCGTCTAGTCAAAGATTGAAATTGATTTTTACCAACCCTCTGCATCCAAGTTTTACTCAGGGATGCGTCAAAACCCAGTGGAAGCTGCATCTTTATTGATCACGCGTAATCTCACTTTTGACCTGTTCAACAACTTTTAAAACGTTGTTTAGGATCATATTTAAATTCAATCAGTTTCAAATGGCTCAGGGTCTTCTAGAATCACTGACTGTTTAATTTGGGAGCAATATTTTTTAATTTGTTTTTTTTTTTACGTTTTAAGAGTTGTTGAAGAGGTAGATTAAGTTTAGGGCGACGCCACTGATTGATCCTAAATTTTATTAGAGTAATTTCTGCTCAACTTAGCAACCACAAGTTCACAACTCTATTTGAAATTTGAAATTCATGACCATCCTCAAACTACGCTGAGTAATTAAGACAGGTATATGAAACTAGCGAGGATAATTTTACTGAATTTGAATTCCCTGATTTTCCAAGTAATCGCACTCACACTCTGATTGCCCAGGATGGCAACTTAAATTCCCAATTAAAATTCCATGAATTTTCTTCAAGAATTTTCTGATGGCTTTCAATAATGCACTCCCCGAAAACACATCTACTATACAGAGGAAGTTAAAGGCTGCCCATAAAATATTAGTCCAGGTAGTGTTACCGAATTCAAAACCATTGTAACAAAATTTTATTATTTAATTTTGCAAAAATCAGGATATTTTCAAGTTCACATTCGGCCAGCAAGTAACTCATTGAAATATCTACATTACACAACAATATGCGAAAAATGTGTAACTTTATTGATTCAAATACGTGTAACAATAGTGGCATATCTCGAGCTTGATTGTGATCCAAACAAATTTTAAACATCCACTTAAATTGACCTTTAAATTTATCATAATTGCTTACAAAAAATCAGGATTATGGCATGGTCTTGCTGCATCGAAACTGTTGCACTGGCCATCCATCGCACAAGTAACACAAATTCATAAAATTATGTTGTGTAAACTGCTTTACAACCAAAACCAGTCATATAAAGGTTATATAAACTGTTATATAACATGTGGGTTACTTGAGCGGTTGAGTAATATTGCATTGTACGATGTACACAGAAATTTCGAACAAATTTACATCCATGGATGTAATATTGTACCTGTCTTTTGCTATTACAGCAATATTTCATACATCAGCATCCATTACGATGATTGATATAACATCTTTTATGCTGTGTAAATGAAGCATGGCCAAAAACCGAGTTCCCGAGCCGTCCAACGGAGAGAATTGAAGTTCATTCGAGACTACTGAGACATAATGTGAAAAAAAAACACAAAAGCTTATGGAATATAGAAGTAATTTCAAAATTCCAATCTTGGAAAAAAGAATTCTGAAGAATTTTTAATGTGGTTCTGGGAATACGAAAAATCGAAATCTCGCTTTAAGAATAGTTTTGCAAATTCTGGGACTTGCAACTTTTTGTGAGATTTATTATTTAAAGAAAAATACAAGTTTGATGACTTTGATAACATTCAACCTTTCAAAGAATAGAGTCTATCAGCAAACCAAAATTAGAAACAGATTCAACAACTTCAACGATCTTAGATCCTCTGAAAATATTTTGATAATTCCAGGTTTTCCAGGTTTTTACCACCCTGTGCACTTAACGTTTTCAGCTAAACGCAACAGAAAATCCACCCTGCGTCGAAACCCGCTTTCAACGAAACGATAAAGCAACGGCTATTCCAATTAACACAGTGCAAAATTCATTTCTCGATATTTCATTAGCAAACTTTACTGGAATTGGCTAGTGTTTTGCTTAACTATAGTCATAAATCAGTATTTCTCGTCACAATTGTGTTGCAGTAAAAAATCCTACAACACCCTAGACCTAACTGAAAACTGTTTAACTGAACACCGAAAAATAAAATTCCCCAAAAAGCAGCGTAAGTAGGTACATGCAACCACTTGACCAGAAACGAAATAATATCTGCCAGTGTCATTATCGCCGGATGTTGGCCGTAATCGACATTTAGCCGCAGCTCATGAATACGACGAAACCCGCAGCTAATAAACGTTTGAATGAATCGCAAATAGCGAAGAAGAAAAAAAAACACGCGAAATAGAGAGTGAGCTAAAGAGGAGTAAAAATCTCATCTCAAACCGAACAATGAAGAAAGTCAAGAGACGCACAATAGCGGAAAAGATATGCGGAAGTATTTTTTTTTTTCGTTGCTTCTCCACGATCTTCATCTGCGGTGCTGTGTTTATGTTTTGTTATTCTTTTTCGCGAAACTATTCAAGACGTAAGTATAGGTGCCTATACCTGTTGAAGTTCGTTGATACTTTCATCTATAGCTGAAGTTTTCCAATTCATTCATTACGTTGTCTACTTCGGTGAAGGTTTGGTACTATGATAAAATTACACTCATTTCTTATCGATCGTAGAATCTTGAAATAAATCAAAATTAAGTGCACACCGGTATCTTCCCAGGTTTGATCATATCAACGTAGGGAACGCCATATAGGGTGTTTTAAATCTTTTATCAATTTGTATACGTATTACCGTCAGAGGAACCATCAAACAATGGGTTATGTATTGTATTGTTTAAGCTAAATCCATCAGTTACTCGAAATATTCCATACTACAAACAAATGGGTTGATTTTGAATGCCTACAAAATAGTACACTTACAAAATGTCCATGCAGGTGATGCTGGACGCCGCCTTGGCCCAACTGCTGATGCTGGGTGGATAGAATCACATGCCGCAGGGTACCGCTCTCATCGACGATCTGCTGCATAACGTGGCCCGGTGGAACCTGCACCGGCATTGCCATAGGAGGAGTACCGTTTTGTGACACCATCGGTACGGTGACGGGACCTGTGTGGAGAGAACAAATAAAATGTATTAATTATTATAAAATATTAAAAAAAGCATCAGTTTGTTAGCTTTTCCAGAAGCAATAATTATATAGGCAGTAAATAACTTTTGAGGCCTCAGATAGCCTAGGTAAGACAGAAAAGGCAAAGTAATACCAAGCCGGAGGTGGAGGGTTCAATTCCCGACGAGGAAATTTCCTGGGCATAGAGTATAATTGTTCTGGTCAAATAATATACAAAATCATAAATTGGTGTTGGCATATAAAGCTCAATTAATAACTATGGAAGTTCATCTACTTCACTTAGTTGATGGCCAGCAAAACACTCGCTACAGAAGCGTAAAAAGCCTAGAAGAAGAAGAAATAACTAATGACATTCAAGATCAACGGAACGGACTCATCAGGTTTTGTAAACAAAACTTCTTGCGACCTTTTCTCTAGAATCGGAGCTCACATATACAAACCCATTTCACCAGCAAGTAGGAGAAAGCAAAAGCTGATGTAAATGATGACGACCTTTTCAATTGTTGATCTTGAATTCTTAGAAACCCCAGTATCTGTTAGTTATGGTTAGTTCAAACTAAGTCTTGTTTACAAGTTGAAATTAACTCAACTGAGACAGTGTTTGAAAAACAATTCCACTAATGCTTAACAATGATATTCCTTTCCTCCCTGTTGCATTTTAGACACTAACAGATGAAATGCAATGACGATGCACCCCTCTCTATCTTTCTTTACAGTAAGTGGAAGAGGACAGTCGACTCGTTACAACATTTACGCTCAATCACCCATGGCATCCATTCATTGCGTCGCGGCTTACTTCGATCCATTTTGACGGAGCTCCATCATGGCAAGCCACCAAACTATGAACTGAACTGAACTGAACTTGTGTCGTGGCGGCGCGTGAAAGGAAAGCTTAATATGATCTCGTTTGTATTATACAAGCCGTTTCTTCCGATTACCTCTCAACGTCGTGTCGGTCAAGACCCGTGCAAAGTACGTACCACAGTAGTGGCCGGTTTAGTGTAAATAACTGCGTCGTATTTATATATTAGACGTGATACGTGCAATTCGCCGTAATGGAATAAAATGGAATCAATGATCGTGTATTTTGTTGTCAGTACTCTGCTGCTACTGAAGCAGTTGGTGCAAGTGTGTATGAGCAGAAGAAACCCGTAAAAAAAACTTTCTTCAACGCCTTCAACAAAATCGGCAACGTTTCGAACGCATTTAAACACTTATGAAATCGTATTAAATGGTAAAGGGAAAACGATAGAATAATTAACTAGCGGTGAATTGTTTTGTTTAACGGCGAGTGGCGTGAACACACCATGGAGAAAACCACATTTGAACTGTGCGAGTTAATTAGCTTTCAATTACATACATTTATGTAATAGTTTTTGACATTTATAAAGTATAGGATGCCATGAGTGTGTACTGTAACATTTCAGAGCAAAGATCATTAATTGCTTTTCTATGTTATTTGCCTAAAGACCTAAGGCTGATGACATGCTGGGAAAGCGTTGCGTCGAGCGAAGTGTGAAATTGAATGAAAGAAAAGTATCAATAATAAAAATTCATTTGTATTTCACGCTTCGAGAGACTCAACGCATTTGATCGGGATATAAATCCATTGCAACCAGTAATGCGATCTATTGTTGTAAATCCCGTGTAATTAGTATATTGAATGTCGTATTACTCCACAGTTATTGAGAAACGATAAAGTATTCGGGCTGGTAGCGGTCAAAGATAGTGATTATAGTGACCAAATAGTGACTTATAGCTGTAAAAAATTAACTTAAAAGTGACCTAAGAGAAGAAAAGTAGTCACACCAAGTAAATGTTTGAAGTTTTAGAATTATTAAATTTGTTTCTCATAAACACTTCTGTACGATAGAGCCTTTAAAGCGCAAAATTCAATATGAAAAGTATATGATTGAACCCATAGTAATAGCCAGGGTGTCTACTACCTGAAAAAAAACTGGAAAACCGGGAATCCGGGAATTTTATTTTCCCAAAAAAAAACCTGGAAATCCAATACAATCTCATCATTACTCAAGGAAGAATAATTTTCCTACTAAGTATATTTAAAAAAAATACATTTAAAAACTTAACATTTAATTTTCCTCGATATTTTCATTCACACGTTGAACTAAACTAATCCAGACTTGATTAATCTTCAGCAACAAATGAATTTAAAAAAAATCAGAAATGGATTTATTTTTGGTTCTGGAATATGCATATTTCCTATAAATTTTAAATTTGAACAAGTTTTTGATATTCTGGACTTTATAATACTTCAGAAAATTTTCAAGATTCAGGAATCAAATTCTCTGCACAGTTTTAAGGCTCTTGTAATTTTATTATAATTTATAAGGACTTCATTCCAAGGAAGTTCTAGAAAAAAAAAAATCATTCAGAAAAATATTAAGTGCAATCTGCGATCAAGGTAGGTCTGATGAATTTTAGATGTTATATGAAACCTGAGATAGTTTTGAGTTTAGTTTTCTCTATTGAGGAGATTTTAGAGATAGTTTTGAGTAGGATTTAAAGAAAACCCTGAATTGATTTGAAAGTAAATTTTAATGAAAACTCTTAGGGGTAGAACTCCTGTGAACTTCAGAGGATAATTCCAAGGGCATTTTGAGGATAATTTCATGAAGTTAATGGGAGAAAACGAATCTGGAGCATAAGTCTTTGGAAATACTTAAGGGGAGATGCTAAAAGGAGGATTACAAATAAATCTGAGAATAGCTCGACGAGGACTTCAAAGGAATTCTGAAAATAATTCCACGAGAGTTTTCCAAACAAATTGTAATGAGAAATCTAAGGAATTTGTGATCAAATTAACTCTTAGGAGACTTTCAATGTGAGTAGAATTTTAAAGGAGAGGAAAGAGAATTTGAAAGGAGTGAGATTCGAAAGGAAATCAATAAATTCAATGAAAATTCTGAGAATCTTTCCAGAGGGTTTCTTACTGAGCAGAATTTCAAGGTAATTCCGAGGAAAATTTAAAGAAAATTGAATTCAGAGGATAGTTCCAACGAAATTTTGAGGAATTTTTCAATGGAATTAGGAGATGTATTCTTAATATATTCTGGTGATATTTTTTTTAAGAATTCAGAGAAGCATTCTGGTGAATTTATAGAATAATTTCATGATTTTTCGGGAAAATACAAAGCGAATGCTGAGGAAAACTTCTAGTGAATTTGTATGAGAGAGCTGTGTTGAATATGGAATGGACTATTATGAGGAGTTCAGAACTACTTGAAAGGTAACAAGTTAATGAAGCTAGTTCTTTGTAGTTTGAAAAACTAGCCTGATAATCACTATACTTCTTATGAAATCTGAAGTTCTCGAAACTTATTTAAAATTTATGTAATTTTTTAACGTTAACGGAACTGCTTTGAGCTTTTCTGTTCTTTACTAAAGTTCTCGAGACTTCTCTTAAGATTTTGCAGTTCTCATGAAACTTGGGGGATCATAACCTAATTAGTAAAGGTACAGTTATACCAAGCCGGAGGCGGCTGGTTCGATTCCCAATCCGGTCGAGGGAATCTTTCGGGTTGGAAATGTTCTCAACTTCCCTGGTTTAGAGTATCATTGTGCTTACCACACAATATGCAAATTCATGCATTGGTATTGGTATCGAAAGTTCTCAATTGATAACTGTGGAAGTGCATTTAGAACACTAAGTTGAGAGCACGGAATAAGCTATGCGATAAGCATAAGCTTTAAATACAAAGAAGAAGAAGAAGAAGAAGAAGAAGAAGAAGAAGAAGAAGAAGAATTAAACTTTTTTTTTACTGACATCAATTTAATTGAGCTGTCATAAAAATGTTTAAGCTTCTGTGAACTTCTGAACTTATGTAAAGATCTCAATAGTGTTCATAACATCTCTAAAGTTCTCTGAAAATCAAGGAACTTCTAAAACTACTCGCTGACTTTCTGAAACTAATAAAACTGAACTCCACCTGAAAATCCCCTTAATTTTGGAGCTTACTAACTTCTATGAAATACTCCCGCATTTTTCTAATATTCATGAAAATTCCTGAAGTTCTCGGATTTTTCTTTAAGTTCCATAGACTTATATGAAGTTATCCAACTTTGTTTGAAGATCTCTTCTGTGAAATTAACGCAGTTTTTCTGAAATGTCTGGAACTTCTTTAAACTCCCGCAACTTTCTTGGAGAAACGAAATAATCAATATAGTTCTATGATTTTCACTAAAGTTCTCCTGGTGATGAACAGGCACAGAAATGGCTTAACATCACCCTGATAAAGCAAAAAAGAACTGAAGTTCTTAAGATTTTCTGAAGTTCATAAAACTCTCCTTAAAATTCTTCTTCAATAGTCTAGACTTTACTAACTCCTAAAAGACTTCTGAATTTCTTTAAACATCTCTAGACTACACTGAATTTCTTTCATTTTCATTTTGCAGCGTTTGGTGGGGCAATGGGAGCGCAAGTCAATCCAAAGCCGAGGATAAAGGACGGGTAATGGCTGAATAGTCTATGCGGACCACTTGAACGCTATGGGAAGAGGAAGGGATTGAAGAGGCCGGTTATTGGGGGGTTTTGAGGAAATGACACATAGTGATGCTAAATGTAAAGAAACCGAAAATCCATCTCCCACTGATTCATCCTTTCATCCTTTGATTATTTTAAGAGGGTATTCCCGATCTTTTTTTTCAAAAAATCAAAATTTTTTTTTTCACGTTTTTTTGTACTTTAGACTATATACTTTCATCCCCCCAAGCCGTTTTCCGATCAGCGAATTCGGTGTCCAGGCATAGCTGACTAATGGTAAGAACCCCCAAATGGTTTTAACTAAAGTCAAAACTTTAAACGCGTTTTTCTCGAAACCACATTTTTTTTATCGGGCGAAGATTTTTCTCAGAAACTATAGACTTGAATCTTTGCGCATTTTGTTCCTTATTAAATTCTTTGGAGCTTCTCCCACTTTCAGCCAAAAATATTAACATTTAACATTGTTTGAAGCAC